GTGATACTACATATAGGGGTAGGACTTTTCCGTTACCAGGGCCCGGCAATAATCGCATCGAATATTCGCCGTTTTTTCCGGGTGCACTACATTACTTTCTCTAAACTGAAAGCAGTAGCGAGAAAGTGAAAGGAAACAAGTGTCCCTTGGAACTGTTTGTTTTTTTTTGTTTTTTTTTTTTTTAAACCAGAAAAAGTTTTCATAGGAGCGGTCAAATAATATGGAAAGCATTTAAACTTCTTTTTATCCCGCTTCAAACTTCTACGAAGGGGAATCGAGAGCCAGGACGGAAAGGTGTGGCGTGAGTTGCCGTTGAAACAGGGCTCCTGAAATGAACATTTTAGCCGGTAAAACGTCGGCTTTCGTGAATCACAGCTAGATGATGTCATAAAGAATTTGAGAAGGGAATATTCTCTGAACACCAGATATTTCCGGAGATGAGATTATTGCTTCGGAGGTAGCTAATCGAGCTCTCGAAATGCCATTCCCTGTGATCGTCCAGCTCCACTTTCCGCCAGCAGTTACATCGCGGCGTTCAACGCAACAGCGGCCGCCAAGAAAAGCACAAACGGGCGGGGCCCGGCAAAACAATCCGCCCCCCCGGGGGAAAAAAAGGCCTTTTTAAAACGTCTTCCAACAGGCCCGGGGGGGCCGCCCCCCCAACCTTTTCGGCGCCCCCCGAAGCGCGCAACAAGCGGCGGCGCCATACCGTAACCAGCGGCTCCGCCCGCCACTCTCCCGCGCGCGCCCTTTTCCCCCCTTCGTCTCTTGCGGTCAGCCACCGAATGGCCCACGCAGAGGCGCAGCCTACAGCGCGACCAGATTCTCTTTCCTCGCGTACTCCGGGAACGCAGTATACATTCGGCAGAACTGGAGAAAATCTAAGTGTGGTTAGGCATGTATTCCACTCAGCAACATTACAACGCAATTCGCAGGAGATCAGTTCTCTTAGTCACATTTACACAATGAAAGATAATTTCTTCGAAGGCATAACGCATCTTCCACATTCTAGGCGCGATACGGAATATCTATCAAAAACTATTTCGAGATGTATTAATACCTTGAAACGGCAATCACGCTATGATTGGGAGAAAGGCTAACTGGAATTTCTACATAATAATCTCGGCATTCGTATTTCAGACTTAATCTTGCAGCCCGTCTACATCTACATCATTTATGTATTTTTTCTTCATCTTAAAATTAGATTGTTAATACTGCCTCATTATTGATGAAACCACAATTAATTTCTAAACCAGGTGAAAAAGATTTTCTGAAACTGTTCAATTATTTGTATGAATATTGCGTCACGAATAATTTAAAGCTTATATGACATATGTCTATTTTAATTAAAACTGACAAATTTCGATAAAGAGCACACAAAATTCATCTCGTTTTTTTCTCAATAACTAACACTATTGTTTGTTCATTCAATAAAATTAATCTAGCAGAGATGTGGTCTAACAATGATGCAACCTGATAAGCACGCAAATAGAAACGCAAAATGACGTAGTCAACTGTAGCGATAGCGTGGTGGCAACTTTCGTCTATCCTCAACGCGCTCGATGAGCATGGCGCAGAGCCAGGGTTAAGGTGGCACACACGCCCTGGACGAATCAAATTAGAAGGAGCTTGCTTCCCAAATATACGACTGGGCCAGGAACTAGACTGGTTTACAAAACACAAGGAGTTCAGGGCGACGTTGTCTAGAAAATTGAGACTTTCAGAATCCATCGACTTCCGATTCATAAGATAACACAATCTCGACCGCACTTTAACGCATTTGTGGCAAAAAGATGGTAATCTCTTCCTCGCACGACTAGTTCATCTTCTGGACCTTCGACTTAAATCTTGAAAATTCATTCGAAGAACAAGTGTACTGTTGGGCGTTTAGAATGCTTCAGCACAAATATAACATTGCCGAGACTTAATAAGAACTGCGCTTCGATACCATACCCGGGGACACTTTTAAAAAGGGTCGCGACGACATAAAGGCTGACGGCAGGGCGGACCGCGGAAGGCGACTCCGCGCTGCGCGGCAGTTGTCGGCTGGCATCGCCAACGTCTCAAGAGTGAAGACCACTGGCGCGTGCGCTACTCCGAGGCCTAAGCGCCTTGGTGGCGCTAGGCGCTGCGCTGTGACGTATAACAATGCTTCAGAACTGATGAAACGTACAAGACAAGTAATGGGATAGATAGATACTTATAGACCTACCAACGTTTATCAACGACTCAATCTAGTCACAAAAACTGCAATTACACACGAAAGAGTATAATTCTCTGTACGATCATTTACAGATAATGTGTGATGAACCTGAGGTGTTGGTTTAATTTTCAAAGACTGGGTAGAGAGTTGATCCGAGCGACAGAGGGATGGGGGAAATCTTTCCGATATGACGAGGAAAAATAGCATTTTCTCATAAATGATAAGAGGTGAGAACTATACAGCGATATAGTATGCGGAATGAGCAGAATATTCTAAAATAATTGGGAATATTTGTTGGGTGAGGGCCGAGATAATGTACAAAGAGACTCGAATTCCGGAAGTGGCCGCCCGAGTTAATGTTCGGCCCGCCAGTTTAATGGAGGCGGCAGTGAGTGCGGTGATATCACAAACTGGCGTGGCAGGTTCGCGGTCACGTGTAGGGTTGAGGCGACGGGTTGCACACGTACGAAGACCTTCGCTATGTCAAGCAAATCCCGTTTCTGGAGGGAATGGTAACCCCAGGTAGAATATTTGCCGTCCGTGAAGGCAGGGCGCAGATGTCCTAGGACACATTATAGCATTCACTTTTTACTTCTTTTCTAAACATCATGAAATTAACTAGGTGCTACAAATCAGCAAATTTTTACTAGAAATTTAAATCCAGAAATGATGACATTCAATATATCGAACTTATGAATGCTTCAAACTTCGATATTATAACTACCTTAAGCATATCTGTATAGCATATATACTCATTCACGACTTAAATTAAACGTCATCAGTTTAATTGAGGTAGAGACAACTAAATTAACGTTAACTAAAAAAAGCTGCCTTATCTCTATATTGTCGCGTTAACATGAACTTCTAAAATATTCATCGCTGCACTTGGTACGGTACATACAATGTACAAACGGATTGAAATTATCGTATTACTAATCTTGACAAAATTATGGTCCATAATTTAATTTTTCTTTCTTATAGACATGTAAATCATTTTAAAGATGGAAAACTATTGGACTAATCTCACTAAGGTCATTTTGACCTCAAAGGAAGCAGAGGGGAATCGATAGTTCACTATTTCTGAAAATTAGACGCGAAAAGTATCAGCACTGTTTTCTTTAACCGTTCCTTAGCTAACATTTCGTGGAAAAAAGGAAAAATTGAAGAACATTGGAGGCGGTTTCTCAAAAACAACCGTTTGAAAATTGTCTGACGACTGAATTACCCCCCCGAAAAAAGGGGAAATAAATCGAAATGACCTTATTTAAAGAGGTTTTTGATTACTGCATTTCATTAAAAAAACCTGTTTTCTTAATAATTGCAGAAAATGGCAAAAAGTTTGAACTTTAACGGAATTTTCTAAAGTTGGAGTTGCAAAGAAAATGACACCTGTATTATTGTCTTAATGTCACTTTCGGCTGTCAAAGGTCAAACTATTATTAAACAGAATCTGCAGTTGTTTTGATTGTTTGGCTCATTTCAAACGCAAAATTACTCGCAAAGTACAGATATCATAACTATTCTCAGTTTTTGTAGTAGGAGAACCGAAAAAATCTTTGCAATAAGAAGGATTTCAATAAAAATGAGAACTGGCACTATTCTCTTACGCGGCTTTACGCCATACTAGCAGCAGAATCGGATTGCGGTAATTTCAATTTTCTGGAGGAAATCGGCTGAACGGTTGACGCTAGCGTGCTACAACAGACGGACAAACAAAATGGTTTGGCCCCAATTGATTTTTCGTACGAAGGGCCAAAAAGCACAGATCTGACTAACAATGTGTTAGATGAATGTGATCACACATGTATAGGGGGTAAGGCGACTTTTCCGTTAGCCGAGGGCCCGGCACATAATCGCATGCCGTTGTGAAACAAGGGCTCCTGAAATGAAGCATTTTAAGCGGTAAATACGTCGCTTTTCGTGATAACTCAAGCTAATGATGTCATTAAAGAATTTTGAGAAGGGAATATTCATCTGACACGCAGATATTTCCGGAATAAGATCAAATGGCGTTTAACAAAGAAGAATTGAATAGATCAACTGATTCAAAAAACATTGACAAACAAACGCACTACAAATGAACTCTCTAATATCGAGCACAATAGCATTTTATCGTCATTGCGCAACCAAGAAGCTGGTAATTCGCCTCGGTTCCAACTAAAGAACAGAAGCCCCCCGATGGCAAGAAATCG